CTGTGCGCTGGGCCGGGCGGGGGCAGGGTCTCCGGGGGCAGGGGCAGGGCGGGCTCCTGAGCCCGTGGCCTCTCGTCAGCTCACCGAGCAAGCGAATAAAACTCGGGGGCGCACGGCGGGACAGCGGGGCGCTCACAAAAGAAGGGAGGAGGGCAGGGACGCGGCTGTGTAAGGCGACCGAACGGGCTAATCCACGATGCATTCGATGCGGAGCCAGAAAACCCTAATCTAACAACTCCAGCTAATCCCGAGCTCTCTGCTCCACATCTAACAACTCCAGCTAATCCCGAGCTCTCTGCTCCACATCTAACAACTCCAGCTAATCCCGAGCTCTCTGCTCCACATCTAACAACTCCAGCTAATCCCGAGCTCTCTGCTCCACATCTAACAACTCCAGCTAATCCCGAGCTCTCTGCTCCACATCTAACAACTCCAGCTAATCCCGAGCTCTCTGCTCCACATCTAACAACTCCAGCTAATCCCGAGCTCTCTGCTCCACATCTAACAACTCCAGCTAATCCCGAGCTCTCTGCTCCACATCTAACAACTCCAGCTAATCCCGAGCTCTCTGCTCCACATCTAACAACTCCAGCTAATCCCGAGCTCTCTGCTCCACATCTAACAACTCCAGCTAATCCCGAGCTCTCTGCTCCACATCTAACAACTCCAGCTAATCCCGAGCTCTCTGCTCCACATCTAACAACTCCAGCTAATCCCGAGCTCTCTGCTCCACATCTAACAACTCCAGCTAATCCCGAGCTCTCTGCTCCACATCTAACAACTCCAGCTAATCCCGAGCTCTCTGCTCCACATCTAACAACTCCAGCTAATCCCGAGCTCTCTGCTCCACATCTAACAACTCCAGCTAATCCCGAGCTCTCTGCTCCACATCTAACAACTCCAGCTAATCCCGAGCTCTCTGCTCCACATCTAACAACTCCAGCTAATCCCGAGCTCTCTGCTCCACATCTAACAACTCCAGCTAATCCCGAGCTCTCTGCTCCACATCTAACAACTCCAGCTAATCCCGAGCTCTCTGCTGCTAATCTAACAGCCGCAGATAATCCTGGGTTTTGAGCCTAGCCAGAGCGATGAAATGGTATCTCCCCAACCCCAGTGTAGGGGTATGTAACCCTAACCCCATCTCTCGCAGCCTGGTCCAATAGCTGTATCTGTCTATCTGGGTTCTCTCTCACGCTTTATTCCAAGACCAAGGTGTTTCCGACGCAACGCCCAGAGCACCCAGCGCTGCTGCTGCAGATAATCCTGGGTTTTGAGCCTAGCCAGAGCGATGAAATGGTATCTCCCCAACCCCAGTGTAGGGGTATGTAACCCTAACCCCATCTCTCGCAGCCTGGTCCAATAGCTGTATCTGTCTATCTGGGTTCTCTCTCACGCTTTATTCCAAGACCAAGGTGTTTCCGACGCAACGCCCAGAGCACCCAGCGCTGCTGCTTAGCAGCTATTGAAATGAAAGGATTTCAGGCGGACCCGCGTCCCCCC